AAATACACAAATTCTTCCCATACACTGACCCTTCCAAATCCCAATGATCCTTTTAAAGTGGTATAAAAGAACTTGCAAATAGTTACTGGCTTAGGAAATTATTTACACAAGCCAGATAGGAAAACTACAGTATAATGGAATAAAAGGTTTGGGGACCAGGCAGGTATTCCAGTCTTGCAAAATAATCTAGAAATCAGAAACTGTAACCTTCTTTATAAAGTTGCTGCCCATTGCTTCACAAGTGGGAAAAACATATTACTTACAACACTTAACAGGAAAACAGGAGAGGTGTCTGGTTTTAAACATAAGCATCTGCCTGACTGTTTCAGGAAATCCATTCAAAATTTGTCTGCCTAAGAAAATGGTCTCCTAGGAAGTCCCTGAGTTAATTTCCTATAATGCTAAGTGGCCTTCCTTGCCCAGGCTCTCACACTTTAAATGAAATATGTATTTTCTTTACAAGCCCCATATGCTCTCCATCTAATAACCACTTATTTTCTGTGTTTGGTACATTTGATCATTTTGATGCTGTGAATATCAGGTAAAAACTGCTGCCTCCACAATCAACCCCTTTTTCTTGGCATGTGGTTTACAAAGCATGAAAAGCTAGGACTAATGCTTTTTAAAATTTACATTTTATTAGGCTGAAGTTTATATGTGATCTGCCACCAATCAGCTGTTTTGACTTACTGAATGGCCAATTTCGTCTGGTCCAACATCATATTTCTATAAGCTCAAGAACAAAAACCTGAATGTTCAGTGAACGCCAGCTACCTAACCCAAGCTGTCTAGTCAGACTTTCTGTGACAAAGGGAATGATGCATATCTACACTAACCAATATGTAACTAATAAGCACTTAAAATGTGGCCGACATCTTAACTTTTTAATTTATTTTTTTATTTTTTTCTGTTGGTTGGCAGGGCTTGAACTCAAGACCTGGGCCCCATCACTGAGCTTTTTTGCTCAAGGCTAGTGCTCTACCACTGAGACACAGCTCCACATCTGGTTTTCTGGTGGTTACTCAGAGATAAGAGTCTCATGGAAGCCAGGCACTGGTGCCTCACATCTGTAATCCTAGCTACTCAGGAGGCTGAGATCTGGGGATTGCAGTTCAAAGCCAGTCCTGGCAGGAGAGTTGGTGAGACTTTTATCTCCAATAAACGACTCAGAAAAGCTGGAAGTGATGCTGTGGCTCAAGTGGTAGAGTGCTAATCTTGAGCACAGAGAGGTTCAAGGACAGAGCCTAGGCCCTGAGTTCAAGCCCGAGGACCAGCAAAAAAAAAAAAAAAAGTCTCACAAACTTTCCTGCCCAGGCTGAACCATGATCCTCACATCTCACCCTCCCGATTAGCTAGGATTACAGGCCACCAGAGCCCAGCTAAGATCTTAATTCTTTATTTCATATGGACCATATGGACCTGGATAGAAACTTCTTCAGACAAGTAGGTGAATCTGTATGTATAGAGTTTGAAGGCCGAGTATAGAGATGCTTCATAAAGAAATGAAATTCAGAATGCCTTCTCTTAGTAGCTCATTTTCAACTCACTCGACAGCTTTTTACCACTGAATCTCTTAATTTCAATCTTCTAGCTTTGCGTCCTCCCTTGGGTAATTACTGTCCCAGGAAGGTAAAATTATACAGCCCCATAGAATGTTCAAAAGGCAGAGAAGTTGGGTGCCAGTGGTGCACACCTGTAATCGTAACTAGCTATTCAGGAGGCTGAGATTTGAGGTTCACCTTTCAAACCCAGCTAAGGCAGGAAAGTTCGTGAGACTCTTATCTCCAATTAACCCCAAAAAAGCTGGAAGTGGAGCTGTGGCTCAAGTGGTAGAGCACTAGCCTTGAGCAAAAAAGCTCAGGGACAGCACCCAGGCCTTGAGTAGTTCAAGCCTCAGGACCAGCACGTATACATACACACACATACACACACATACACACACACACACACACACACACACACAAGGCAGAGGGACCATGTCACTTAGCTAACACAGGACAGGCACAATACCTCCTGGTGATTTGTTGGGCAACCTCATTCCCATCCATGAAAGAGATAACAAACAATAATAACTGCCTTATAAATTAGGGTTGTTGTGAGGCCTAAATATATAGAGCAAAATTACAGAATCTAATTCTCAATAGCAAATTTAAGTCAGGTCAGACTCAGTTTCATTTATACCATGAGACAATTGTTTGTCTATCTCCTTTAATAAATAGTAAGTATTGACACCCTCTGCTTCCAAACCCCAACATTCCTTTCTTGCCTTCTTCTCCCAATCTTGTTCCCCTCCATCCTCTGGGCCTCAATTGCCCCAGGAGCCAGGCAATCTACATGTTTAACACTCCCTTTAGGAAAACCTGGAAGATGTGTGAGGACTTAACTACTGCATGTCCAGGATGTTGAGGGATGGTACCATTCCTACCCTTGTAGTTCTGACTCTTTTTTTCCCCTCTGGATTTTTCTTTGATTTTAGCAAAGAAAACACAAATGATTTGCTCACTTGATCCTGTGTCATTTGTCTATTAAAGCTTTCAGGGTTAAGAGAATAAGAACCCAAGGTCCCATACACTTAAAAAGTATCCCTGCTACATAATAAGCCATAGCCAATTAAATCTTTTGCACTCAACTATTCAAACTGAGTTTGGTGCTATATAATTATTGCAGTCGGTAGAGTTAAAACTGATTTCAGCAAAGAGCATATTTGCTCAAATGTGACTAGATTCAGGATTTAAAACTCCCAACAACAAAAAAATTGTTCATATATCACAGTATCACTCTAACTTCTTATTCCCTTGATAAAGATGGTCAAGGCCTGATTACTAAATATGAAAAGGGAAGAGTTCTGTTATAATATAGTACCTATACCTCTACTTACTGGAAACCCTCTTGGTTCCAAAATCCCAAGATCCTTTTCTTGCTTTTGGCCCCCATTTTGGCCTCCTCTAGGCCTCAACTGGCCCAAGAGCCAGACAACCCCGGCTTGCTGGGCAATCCAGGTCTGCGCTACTCCATGTATAGGAAATCCTATAAAAGGGTCTGCCTTGACTTTCCCTTTTCTTAACTAGACAGGCATCTGTAGGCATCTCCAGACTTTCAGACCTGGAAGCTGCGTTTGGAAAGGAAAGTTTGGAAAAGAGTTGGCAGACCATAGTAAACTGACCTTTGAAAAGTTCATAATAACCTTACTCATGTAACTGTAACCCCTTTGTACAGCATCTTTACAATAAAATAAAATGTGAAAAAGAAAGAAAAGTTCATAATGGAATTAGGACATTACACAGGTAGCATGCTGTAGGGTCACAAATTTCTTAGGGTCTCAGATTAACAGGAAGTTAAGACAAGGGTATCTGAAAACTGTAATGAGGTGAAGGGGGTGGTGGAAAATGCTCAACAGTACAGGGCTAGTCCTCCGGGCCTATTTCCCCAACCTCCAGAAAATTCCACCCAGGGACTCCTGAACCAGAAGGTTTAAGCACACTGAATGAACAGCTCAACAAATAGTGACCCGGGAGGCTCCAGAAAGCCTCCTAAATTTCATTTCCGTGGCGCTTCGCAGTCTATCCTGACCTCTGACCTCCAGGGTTATTGCTAAACTGCCTTCTGTTTGCACAAGGACCAGGCAGGGAGGCACTTCCCTGAACAACAACTCTGATTCTACTGGGAGTGGGTGGTACTATCTCTGGGCTACAGATAAAAAAAAACCAGGTTCATTGGGGTTAGGGAACCTGAGCCAGAGGTGATATAGCCAGGACCTATCTGGCTCCATTTTCCTCTTAAGTCTCTAACCCCGCATCCCATCGTAAAAGGAAAGGTAAATGCGTGTTAACTACTAGCTGGGTCCCCAGTGATATCCTCTCAAGTCCAAGCGAGGAGGATCCCCTTACTCAGAGAAGGAAATGAGAGGTCCCGAGCAAAAGGACTTGTCCGAAGCTACTCCCCACGGCATGGGGACCTCAGACAGAGCTCGTGGTTTACAGTCCTGGAAGAGGCCCCTGAAGCATCCCCTCCCTTCCTACTGGAAGCGCAGGCCCGCTTGCTCTCCCAGTCCAGGGCAAAGCCAGGCAGCCTTGGCGGGCCAGGGCGGGCGGCGGGACGGGTGCCAGCATGCTTGGCTGGCCGGGCCGGAGGTGCCTGCTTCCGCCTGGGCCTGGCACCGCTGGTCCATTCATCCTAGCCGCGGGCGGGGCAGGCCGGACAGAGTCCTGGGTGCCCCTCGACCCCGGCCGGGCACCCTCGCGCCGGGGTCCGCGCGGCCCCGCCGGGGAAAACGGTGCCGAGGCCCCACCGCCAGGGGGAGCAAGGAGCCTCGCCCCGCACTCCGGGAAGTTGCCACGGCGGCCGCCGAGCGTCCGGCCCCGGACAGCACCCTCGGCCAGCCCCGTGGCTCCCGCCCGCCCCGTCGGGGCCACGCCGATACCCCCCCCCTCGCCCCCGAGGCGGGCCCTAGGCTACAGCTCGCAGGCCGGTGAGCTCCTTCCAGGGTCGTCCATCTCACCTACCCTCTTCCCCCGGGGCGGCCCCGCCGTCTTCCGCCCCCCCACCCCCACCCTCCGGCCCGGACTCCAGCCCGGCAACGTCATCCGGCGGCTTCCCGAAACTTAACCCCTTCCTCCGCCAGCTGTGCGCCGCCCCGCCCCGCCGCCAACTTTCTTCACCCAACTTCGGAGCGCGCCGGCCGGCCCGACGGCCCGGCCCGGAGGGAGGGGTCGCCACGTCGCGCCGCGTAGCCACCGCGGTTCCCCGACGGCGGGGCGCAAGGTCCGCACGGCGGGGCGCGCTGGGGCCGACGCCCCTGCACGGGCTCGGCCTGCGAGACACCCCCCTAACCCCAGGTCCCACCCGAGGGGCCTGGGCGACGGCCGGGGCGGGCGGGCCGGCGGCGCCGGGGGAGGGGCCGCCAAGGAGACGTGTCACTCGCAGTGCAGCCAGCCCGGGCGCCCCGACGGCCTGGTCCGCGCGCCGCCACCGCCGCTGCAGGGCCCGGCCAAGTTTTTTACCTGCAGCCGGAGATGCGAGAGGGAGAGCGAGAGGGCAGGAGATGCCGCCGCCGCGGAACCGCAAGAGAGGAGCCGGCCGAGCCTCCGCCGAGAAGCCGCCCCGAAGCAGCTGCAGTTCCCGCGACCCCGACGCCGTCCGCCCCGTCCGCCGTCCGCTCCGGCCGCTCGCTGGCTGCGTGCGCGCGTGTGGAGTCGTGGCACTTTCTGCCTCCGAGCTGGCGAACGGCCCCCCTCCGCCGGGATCGCCGCCTCCTGCTTTCCCCACCCGGGCCAGCCATTCATCGAGACGCCTCTCCCCATTGGACAGATCTCCGCCACTCTGCTGGTCGCTGGCCACTCAGGACACGGACGGCGGAGCCGCGGTCGCAGCCATTGGGCAGAGGGGCGGGTCTACGCCGCAACCAATGAGAGAGGGGAGGAGCTGCAGGGAGCTGCGGTGGGCGGGGCCGTGGGGGCGGGGCCGCGCAGCGCAGCTCTCGGCTCTGCGCGGGGGCGGGGCTAGGACGCCCGGCCTACCTAGGGAGGTCGCAGGCCGGCCACGCCCACCCCGGGGCGGGCTGCGGCGGGGGTGGCGGCCGGGCTACTAGCTTTCGCTTAACTGGAGTGGCCTCCGCCTAGTGGGGTCGTGGTGGAAGGTTCGAATCCTGGCGGTCCTGGGCCTATTGCTCTGAACGCCGGAGCTGAGATGGCGGTGGGTGTCACCCTGAGCAGGATTGCGCAATCTGGGAACATCAGGGGAAAAGCTTTATTTAAACCCAACTAACTTCGCCCAAAGCACCGCCCCCCTAGGATCTATGGCTGTGAGGACAAGTTCTGCTGTCTGATCTTCCTTCCAAGAGGTTTCAGTCAGCACCAGAAAGAATTCCCTTGAATGCATGGAGATGGAAGGGTCAGAGGTGCACAAGGAATTGAGGTAGGGTTACACTGGCTAGGCTGGGAACACCTGAGATACTGTACACACCCTAACCCGCAGAGCAGAGCAATAGTTAACCATCCATCCGTGGTGGCAATCTTATTCCCTGTAAAGGGGAGAGGGAAAGGCTCTGGCCCAAGAAAACCCACCTATATCCCGAAAACCCCAACAAATTGCTATTTCTTCATTACCTAACCTTACCCCGAAGGGTAGCCAACCCTCTCTCCTTTATAACCTAATTCTTTTTGTTTTTGTTTTTTTTGATTGGTTGTGGGGCTTGAACTCTGGGCCCGGGCGCTGTTCCTCAGCTCAAGGCTAGCGCTCTACCACTTGAGCCAAAACGCCACTTCTGAGTTTCTGGTGATTCATTGGCGATCAGAGTCTCACGGACTTTCCTGCCTGGGCTGACTTTGAACCGCGATTCTCAGATCTCAGCTTCCTAAATTGCTAAGATTACAGGCGTGAGCCACCGGCACCAGCAATTTTTTTTATTATTATTATTTTTTGCCAGTCCTAGGGCTTGAACTCGGGGCCTGGGCACTGTCCCTGAGCTTCTTTTACTCAAGACTAGTGCTCTACCCACTTTGATCCACAAAGTCACTTCTGGCTTTTTCTGAGTAGTTTATTGGAGATAAGAATCTCATAGCTTTTCCCACACCCTGCTGGCTTCAAACCACCATCCTTAGCTCTCAGCCTCCTGAGTAGCTAGCATTACAGGTGTGTGTCACTAGCACCAGGCTCAATTAAATTAATTTTAAGCTTGGTTTTTAACCACTATTAATAGTGTTGATTTTTAGCAAATTGAATTAATAGTATTAATTTTAATTCTTCAAAGCCAGCTTTTTGTTAACATGTTTCTAAGAGGCCAAAAGAGCTGTGGCTGACCCAGCTGTCCACACTGTTGCTGTAGCACCTGTGGCTGCAGAATCTGGGGCCTGATATCTGTTTCTTGAACAGTCCTCCACCCCCTCTCCATTCCCATTTACATTGTACCCCTTCTTTTTTGGGGGGGTCCGGTCATGGGGCCTGAACTCTGGGCCTGGGCACTGTCCCTCAGCTCTTCAGCTCAAGGCTAGTACTCTACCACCTGAGCCACAGCACCACTTCTGGCTTTTTTCTTTTTGCTTATGTGGTGCTGAGGAATCGAACCCAGGGCCTCATGCATGCAAGGCAAGCATTCTTACCACTGAACCACCTTCTTGTTAGATGTGGAAAATAAAAACCTGCATGAGGGAATACAGGGGGCTTAGGTTGAAATTAAACCATTCATTCCTGTTTTTAATGGCAGTGACTCCTAAACCCATTAATGATTGATGAACAGGAATTAACCCAGATTAGCTTCCTATATGCAATCATTTTCTAGCAGCGGGCTCAACTTCAAATAAAAGTCAAGCAATTGCTACCGACTAGTTCTTCTTGAACTCGGGCAAGCCATTGAACTTTTTTGAGTATGGGTGTACTCCTCTGGGCTTTAGAGAGGTTGATCATTTATTTGTTCACTGTGTGGAATGCCTAGGATTTCGTACTAAGTTGAGCAAGGAGTCTGAAGTGACACATGGATCCTTTAAAGACCCAGATGTTGAAGAGCTATCCATGACAGGGCCTCCTTTATCTTATCCACTGTTTGTCTTTGTTTAAAGTTTTCCCAGAAGCAGACCCTGGCAGGAGGACTTAGTTCAAATATAGTAGTCAGTCCCTTGATATTTGAGGGGGATTGATTCTGGGATCCACCACTAATGCCCAAATCCAGGGATACTCTAATCTTATGTAAAATGGCTTAGTATTTGCATAGAACCTAGGCACATCTCCCATGTACTTTAAATCATCTCTAGATGACTTAGAATACTTAATACAATGTAAATGCTACGGAAATAGTGAGGATATTGGGTTATTTAGGGAATCATGAATGATAAGGGGAAAAGTCTATATGTTTAGAACAGATACAATTTTTGCTGAATATTTTTTTATATTGGTTGGTTAACTTGGTGGCTGCAGCACCTGTGGTATGAGAGGCCATCTGTAATTTGTCTAGAGGAGGATCACCTAGGAAATAATTGGTGGGGAAAATGGAGGAGCCAACAAAGAGCACACCATCAAAACCCCAGCTGCTGTAGGGGGGTCCTGGTACCACAGGCATGTCTGGAAACCATATGGAATATACCCTGAAAATGTCCCATCCAAAGGGTAAGAATGTGGTTGTTGATTTACTTGCTCCCAATACTCACTCCCAATCTTCACTGATTAATAGTTTTTACTGGTGAGGGGGGCTTCCAACTCACCCCTGCCCTAATCAGTCAGGGAAAGCCTTGCAGCAAGAAGCAAATCTGGACAGAATGTATCAGAATGTATCAGGAAGTATCAGAAGGTGAGGATAAGGGGCACCATAATGTACTCTGTGCAGAGGGTAGAGCCTGCAAAAAGGGGAGACCAGTAAACACATGTTCTGTAAATATTATCCTAGGAATGACAGGATCACAAAGTCCCTAGAGTGAGAGATGTTTATAAAGGGGCCTCCCTGTGTCTGTTCCTTCTCCTAATTCAATATTTGGTTCAGCCTCAATACAACATTTACTTCAGAATGGAAGCATGGCCTGGTCTGAGTTTGCCTTTCCTTTGTCCCTCTCCTCATCCTCTCCCACCCCTTCTGTGGTGTGGTATGCCACCCACCCCCAGATTCATTGTCCTCAGGCCCCTTTGAGCTGAGAACACACCCTCCCTCCACCAGGCTCCATGAAGGCTGATCAGCCCAACTACTATCATCATCATCATAGTCTGGTCCTCTCACATACTTCTGCACCCAAAGAGCTCTATCCTTAGCAGGGCTCAGCCCATTAGCTCTCCTAAGATACAGCTGGGAAAACCAAAGGTATCCCAAAGCCTGCTGGATAGAAGATGCCTTTGGGGAGTGGGAGGGAGGGAGAGACACTGCTACCCCTGGTTGAAGTCTTTTACTGCTGAGTCTCAGCCTTCCAGCCACATGAGGAACATTCCATCTCGCAATGCTAGAGAGCTAGAAACAAGTTCTTGCTGTCTCAGGTGTAGACAGGTGATGTCAATACAAAGCCAACACAAGGAGGTGTCAGAAAGAGAAAGGTCTGAGGGGATCTGGGGACTGTAGGCATGGAATTACTCCACACTAAGGAGAGAAGGGGGTGAGCAGCAGAGGCTTCAAGGAAAATGTAGTAGACCACCAGCCTTGAGCAAATTAGCTGAGCAAGCTCTAGGCTATGAGTTCAAGCCCAGTATAAAGGGGGGGGGGGGTGGGAAAGAGCCAGGCATTGATGGCTCATGCTTGTAATCATAGCTACTCAGGAGGCTGAGATCTGAAGATCACATTTCCAAGCCAGGCTGGGTAAGAATGTGAGACACTTATCTCCAATTAGCCACCAGAAAACCAGAAGTGAAACTTTGGCTCAAAGTGATAGAGTGCTAGCCTTGAGTAAAACAGCTCAGGGACAGTGCCCAGGCCCTGAGTCCAAGCCCCCCAACTGACAAAAAAATTAATTTCATTTGTTAGCATATCATACTTAAAACTAACTCAAAAAAGGGACATATCAGATTTTAGTTGTATATTTTAAGCAAATAAAGCATTCTTGTTAGGAAAAATTAAACACACCAGAATAATTACTTAACATGGTCTATTAATTCATGACAGTATTCAAAAAATACCCTTTTTGAATATTTGCAATTTAGTAAGAGCAGTAAGATATCTTACAGTTTCAAAAGTTTTGCTTTGTCAACAACTGAAAGAGACCGGGAAAATGACTTAGTGGTAGAGTGCTTGCCTAGCATGTATGAAGCCCTGGGTTCAATTCCTCAGTACCACATACACAGAAAAAGCCAGAAGTGGTGCTGTGGCTCAAGTGATAGAGTGTTAACCTTGAGCAAAAGAAGCTCAGGGACAGTGCCCGGGCCTTAGGACTGACCAAAAACAAAAACAAGTTATGAATGAATGATAAATGACAATGAAGTAAATAACACATGAAAAGGACTTGGTACCAAACTGCAACACGTTCAGATTTTATCATCTACCATTTTTAGATGCCCTATACATATATAGCTATTTAACCCTCAGAACAACCCTGTAAAGGAGGTACCATTGTCTCCATTTTATTTTTGTTGTTCTGAGGATCAAACAAGGACCTCATGCACGTTGGCAAGTGCTGTCCACCTGAGCTACACCTCCGGTCCTTAATGGAGAGTTGTTGGTTTCCTTTTTTTTTCTTCCTTTCTTTCTTGAAACAAAATCTTGCTATGTATTCAAAGCTGACCTTGAATTCACAATCCTCCTGCCTCTGCCTCCTCAGTTCTGTATCATCATATCCAGTCCATGATCTTCATT